CACAGCCGGGACGGCGCCCGGAAGGAAGGGCCCGACCTGCGCCCTCCAAGAAACCAAGAGCCCGAGCAGCACGTGGCTTTTATTTGCTCCCCAGGTCGTCTGGAACGTGGCCGCAGGCGAGCGGGCAACGGCTGCGCTTTGGCGCTCAGGAACAAGGAAGCTTCGCAGTGAACCTGCTCGGCTGGCAGCAGCGCGGGCAGCTGGGCGTGCAAGGCTGGCATCTTCCCTCCCTGCAAGGCTCCGCCGGGGGTGGCCAGGCGCGGCTTCAGCGGCCCTCGATCTCCCGTCTGATCTCGGAAATGTATGGGTGATCTTTGCCGTGAGCGACTTCCATGATGGCCAGGGCCTAGGAGAGACGGACGGTGAGCGCCTGGCCACCCTGGCCGCCTCCGTCCCAGTGCGGCCGTGACACAGGGAGCAGGACTAGCGGTGACCGACCGCATCCAGGGCCCACTGCTGACGACACACCCGGGGCCTGGAACCCTTACTCTTCGCCCAGGGCCGAGGTGTTTCTGGAGTCAGGGATTGGACAGCCCGGCCTGCATCCACGCTGCACCACTTCCACCCCAGAAAGCAGGGCAGTCAAAGCCCCGGGGCAGCTTCACCAGGCGTCACACCGGGCCCCCCAACCCCAGGTCTGCCCGTCCCTGCGTGCATGACAGAAAGGCGGGGTTCAGCCCTAAAAGACTCTGGCTTTGTTGCAGTCCCCAGCTTCACATAGCTGGGCAGGTGCTCTACCAAGGAGCTGCACCTCCAGCCCTTTTCGTGTATATTTTGAGACAGAGTCTCACTGAATCTCCTGGGCTGGCAAGGAACCTGGGATCCTCCTGTTTTAGCCTCCTGAGTCGCTCGGATTACAGGAGGGAAGCGCCTTTCCTAGCAGGACCTCTATTTGAATGAATGAAGGCTCCGCCATGGACCCCCAGGCTCCCTACTTTTTGGTTTCTGTTTTTTAAGATAGGGTCTTGCTATGTAGCCCAAGCTGGCCTCTAACTAACAGCGATCCTCCTGCCTCAGCCTCCCAGGCCAGCCAACAGCCTGCCCCACTCATGGGGGGTGTTGGTGGCCATGCAGGCCTGTGAATGCAGCCACCCGTTCTTCTGCGGTCACGCGGGCCCAGCCCCTCACACCCCAGGCCCCACACATACCTTCCTGAGGGCCTTCTCCCCTGCGGCTCTGTTCTCCAGGCCCAGGTACAGGCGGCCCAGCTTCAGCCACATGGAGGCCACGTTGAGCGAGTACAGTGGGTAGTGCTTACTGCAGAGACAGGCACTGTCAGGGCCAAGGACCTGGGCAGCCAGGGGGCCCCACCCACGAGGCTCAGGGCAGAGACTTTCTGGAAAAGCCACACCCCTGTCTGCGAACACCACCGATCCCAGCCCAGATCTGCCTGTCTTAGGGAAAACAGTCGTTTTTCTACCGAGATTGAGCCCAGGGCTTTCTCAGTGAGCTATATTCCCAGCACACCCTTCCCTTTTTAAAAAATACTTTGGAGGTAGGGTCTCACTAGATCACCAGATTGGGTTCAAACTGGCAACCCTCCTGCCTCAGCCTCCCTGAGTGATGCACCAACACTACTGGTTTGGACGACACCTTTCAAACTAAATGTCCCGTCGATGAGGGGACAATTCCCTCCCGTTAGCAAGACAGCACACCCACAACCCATGTGTTCTAAGGCCCCAGCTTTCCACTCCCCGCCTATCAATTGGGGGGCGGGCCCCAGCCTGGAGGCTGAGGCAGGAGGACTGCAAGTTTCTTCCCAGCCTGGGCAACTCAGTGAGACCTTGTTGGATCACTTGGGTGTCCACACCGGTAGGTGGCTGCCGGCCCACTGCGGGGGCGCTCACCTGTAGGGCTTAATGATCTTCTGCCCGTAGCGCAGGGCGCCCTCCCAGTCCTGCAGGTACAGGCACACGCCCATGGCCTGGTACATCATGTGCAGCATGTACACGTTGCTGTCTTCGAACACCGAGCTCATCTTCTCCTGGCTCAGCTCACAGATCTCCAGCAGCTCGCTAGGGGGTGCCGTGGAGTCAAGGAAACCAGCGGCCCCTGGGGGAACCCGCGGGAAACCAGGGAGCAAGGACTCTCACTTTCTAGTGGAAACCCGGGCTGGAGGTCTCACCTGCGAGACCAGAGCCCCGGACCCACAGTCCGGATGTGAATCCGGGAATCTCGGGTTCTCAGCCTTCTGGTTAAGTTCAAATCCTCATCTTCAGACCGTCACCCCCTCCGTGGGGCTCTTTCTCCCCTCCCATTACTGAGGAATGGACCCAATGTGCTACGTGCCCAAAGTTTCTTACTTTTTGTTTTGAAACCAATCGGATCTAAATTGCCAGCCTGGGCATGAATTCACAACCCTCCTGCCTCGGCCTCCCAGACTGGGATCGCAGGCGTGCAGGCGTCACCACACCCAGCCAGCTGGAGCATTTTCAGGGAAGCCGTGCCTGTCGGCAGGAGCTGAGAACAGGACTTCCGAGCCTGCCCGCTCTCTGGAGCCGCACGCCGCAGCCCGAGGACAGGATATACTTGTAGCGCTTGGCTCTCCGGAACTCCTCGATGACGCTGCGCGCGTACCGCACCATGTCGCGGACGGCCTCCGCCCGGGGCGGGTCGCCGAGCTTGCGGGTCTCCACCTTGGCCTCATCCTGGGG